CCTCAGATAAATTACCAAAAAATAAGTGGATTTGGCTATATTTACTTATATCAAAAACTGGCTCCCAATAAAGTTACAGGACGTTAAACTAACATTAAAAAAAAAACGTTTTTTTTTTGTAAAAAGTTTGCTGTTGCGATTTTTTCTTGGAATTTTTTGCCAGTACTGTAGTTTTGAAGGCCCAATATTCTAAAGAAAAAAAAATTAAAGCGACCCCCTTAAAAAAAGTTGAGGGGTTGGTACCTTTTAACACCCCCGTATTTTTTTTGACATAAAGAAACCTGCTTTATCGATCTTAAAATCAAAAAGAACTATAAATTTTTAATTTTTTTTTATAGCGAAATAAACTTTGTATCTATCTTAGTTAACGAGCTATTTACAATTTTTTAACTGAATTTTTAGAGCAATTCGTCCGTCCTGGACTTAACATATCAACAAAACTAATAGTAGGTCAGGAGTTATTGTACAAAAAACGCATATAAAAATCAGTGGTGTGCCTAGGGTTGTACTTGAGCCGCCCCTGCAAAAACTACATCTTCTATTTATATTTTTGTATTCAAGAAGAAGGAGGACATGTTGAACATTTACTAAATTAAATAGTTTATAAAATACAAGGTGGCGCAAAATAAAGTCCCTTATTTGGTTTTTATATAAAAGATTAATTAAAAAACAGTCATATTATAAATTAAAAATATTTATTTAAACTCTAAAAATTTGTTTTGTTACACACTAAATACAATATCGACCAAATTGGGCATTAATTCAATAATGAGCTCCTTTTAAAGAATTTTCAAAACTTTCTCCAACATTTCAGGTGGTATTCTGTCAATTTCTTCCCGGATGTTGTCTTTTAACGCTTCTAGTGTTCGAGGATTATTTACAAATACCCTATCTTTGATATAACCTTATAACCAAAAGTCTGGAACAGTTCAATCGGGAGACCTTGGCGGATAATGAATATCGGCGTTTTTCGAGATAAGGCGTCCAGGAAAAATTCTGATAATCGACGAATTATTTTGATAAAAAAAATTTTACGATTTCGGCACGTTCCCGAGGCGTATATCGATTCATAATGAATTTCCCAAGTATCTACTTTGCAACTGGCAGAAAAATTCGAACAGATGTCAACTACAAACAAAACCATGACAACATTCCATAGGGTACTTGATTTTGCGCCACCTTGTATGTATAATAATTTCAATTTCAATTTATTCAAATTCAAATAGTAATAAAGTACAAATAATAATAATAATAATATTTTAAGATTAATATAGATTACAAAAAATCTAGAATTAGCAACAAGCCTAAGCAAAAGCTGCCTGTGTTGCTTGTGCTGATTCTAAAAGATTTGAAATAAAACGTACATTTTATATTTTAGTGCCTAAGTAGGTATAAAAATAAGTAGGATACAAATTTTTTTTAGATTGAGTACATATGCAGAGCGAAGCAGACGATGGTTATCCAGGAGTTATTCCAACATTTAATACAAGTAGTTAACAACAAATTTCAATTTTAAATCAGGTATAGCTTACAACATTATAGCAGTAAATGTGATTTGGTTATCTATTATATATTTTTTAATATTTTGTTTGAATATAGATAGTTTACTTTTTTGTTTGAGATGTATGGGGATTAGATTGTAGAACTTGGGACCAAAGTAAAAGAAGGATCTTTGGGTTAGAGATTTTTTAAAAAGTTGAGTAGAAAGGTCCATATTTGTAGTAGAGCGAGTCAATCGAGTTTGTTTATATTGAAGTAGTTCAGGGCTATTATATACTTTTATGATACATTGGTAGATAAAGAGTGATTTAATGTTGAGGATTTCGTTTTCATTATATAATCGTATGGTAGTGAATAATTTATCTTTTTTTAATATTATTTTCAAAATTGTGTTTTGTGTTACTTGCAGAGTATTAAGTGTAGTGTTAAAAGCCCCTCCCCATGCCGTAATACAGTATCTTAAAACAGATTCCACTGATGAAGAATATATCATGATTATTTTTGTCTTAGAGAGAATATCGCGAAGTACATAAAATGTATGCATTAGAGCCCTTATTCGATTACTAACATGAGTGATATCCTCTGTCCAACGTATATATTGGTCTAGTATAACACCTAAATATTTTATGGAAGCGACTTTTTCAATAGTGGGAGATATGCAATTGTTTAGCTCGCAGTTTGGGCTGTGTAGTTTAATCGGTAAGTTAATTGGCTGATTTGTAGCAGTCGGGCTGAAAGCAATAAATTTTGTTTTTTTAATATTTAATGTTAGTTTGTTATAGTTTAACCATAGTGTCACCTTAGTTAATGTAGCTTCTGTTTTGCGATGTACGTCTTCCCACGTTTTTCCGGTGAAAATTATGGCTGTATCATCGGCATAACACACAAGATGACCTTGAAAATTATTAATTTTTGTTATACTATTCATGTAAACAAGAAACAACAAGGGACCCAAGACTGTTCCCTGTGGAACACCCACTTTAATAATTGATTCGCAGCTAAATTCAGAACCAATCCTTACTCTTTGAACACGATTATATAAGTAATCAGATATAAGTTTAAGCGCCACGCCCCGAATTCCATAGTCTTCTAGTTTGTTTAAAAGTATTTCATGAGAGACTGTATCAAATGCCTTGGCTAAATCAAGGAATACAGCAGTGCATGCCAATGATTCATGCAGGGCACCGACTACTTTTCTCATAAGATCTATAATTGCAGTTTCAGTACTTGAATTTTCTATAAAACCATGTTGACAGCTGGAGATAATGCCGTGAGTTTGAAAGAAAGCAGTTAGCCTCGCCTTCAGTGCCTTTTCAAATATTTTTGCTATATTGTTTATTAATGAAATAGGTCTATAATTATTTACTCTGCTGGAATCCCCTGATTTAAATATAGGGGTAACAATAGATTGCTTCCATTGATGGGGAATTTTTCCAGTCTGAAAACATAGGTTAATAATATGTGTTAGAGGAGAAACAATATATTCATGGATGCTTTTTATTGGTTTTACTTCTAATTTATCTGGACCTGGTGCACAATTATTTTTTAAATTCGAAATAAAAATAGTTACTTCATTTTTTGATATTGGCCGTAGAAATATACTCGAATTGATTTGATCATTACTGATAAAATTATCAGGTAAGTTTCTTGTGGGTATTTTATTTGCCATTTCGTTTCCGAGGTTTGAAAAAAATCTATTAAACTCGTTTGCTTTTTCTTTATTACCATTTAGTATTACATTATTTTTATTAGTGATCGGTATTATTGTCAAGTGTTTATTTTTAATTGTTAATTTTTTGTTAATTGTTTAATTAAAAAAATAATTGTTTTAAATTACTATTATATTTAATTTCCAAACTAACGTGTATTTTTATCAGTGGCATGGTGAACCCATGAGGATGGGTGGCACACCATTTTTATGGCGCCAATCCAATATTATAAATACCTTTTTTCCAAAAATATAAATAAAAGAGGTACTTTTTGCAGGGGCGGCTCAAGCACAGCCCTAGGCACACCACTGATTTTTATATGCGTTTTTTGTACAATAACTCCTGACCTTCTCCTAGTTTTATTGATATGTTAGGTCCGGAACGGATGAATTGCTCTAAAAATTCGGTTAAAAAATTGTAAATAGCTTGTTAACTAAGAAAGATAAAAAATTCATTTCGCTATAAAAAAATTTAAAAATTCATAGTTCTTTTTGATTTTAAGATCGATAAAGCAAGTTTCTTTATGTCAAAAAAAATACGGGGGGTTAAAAGGTATCCAACCTCCCAACTTTTTTTAAAGGGGTCGCTTTAAATTTTTTTCTCCTTCACTGTTGGGTTCTAATTAACAGTGCTGTTCCTGAAGTGGCGCTGGGAAACAGTAACAAAGCCTACACAGAACACACATGATTGAGAATTTAAACACAAATTTGAGACTGGCATATTAGGTATATATACCTAGGCCATAAATCTAGAAAAAAAATATTGGGCTTTCAAATTTGCAGCACTGGCAAAAATTTTAAAGAAACAATCGCGACAGCAAATTTTTTACAAAAAAAAAACGTTTTTCTGAATGTTACTTTAACGCCCTGTAACTTTGTTGGAGGCCAGTTTTTGATATAGGTAAATATAGCTAAATCCACTTATTTTTTGGTAATCTATCTGGGAAAGAATTTATGACATACCTTTTTGAAACACCCTGTAGTTGTAGGTAACTTTCAGTGTTTTAGAAAGATACAAAATACTTTACTAAACAGTGAAATTTTTTTAACTACATCTGTAATGAGATCTATATTCTGTCATTGTAAACCATCAATATTTTAGTTACTACTTTGTAGCTTCTTGAGAAAATTATGTTTATTACTATTTCCAGATGTTTGCCAATCTCTTTAAATAATGAAATCATGAACACTAAGAAAAGTAACATTAAATACAAAAAAGAAAGTCATGAGAAAACTTAAAAAGAAAAGTATACCAAACAGTAACGTGAGGAAGAGAATAATTATTAAGAAGCTGGGAAAATGTTAGAAAAACAGTAGATGCGATAATTTGTTATGGACTTGTTTGGGGTTAATGGAATTTGAAGGAGTAGATGTTTTTTTTATCGCCAGAATATCGAACAGATGCAAGAACGAAAAATAATTGTGGCAAAATGATAATGCAAATTAATTGGTCTGATATAAAATAACACTACGGAATGGCAATAGAAAATGTTCAAAAAGAAGACCGTGTGGTAATAATTGCGGATGAAATCTGTAAGAAAGAACAATAAACAAGTAGATAGATAAAATATATAAATATTTCGACTATATCAAAGCGAGATTACTTTAGTTGGGACTATTACGAAATTATGCAAAAAAATAATTCCCACTAAATTTGATGTTTTCTTTTAAGACCGATAAAATTTAATTGTAATGATTTAGGTAAACCAATAGCTGTCATCCACTTTATAACACACATATCGAATTTTAAACTTCAAACACCGGTTAAACTATCACCTACATGCTACAAAAAAAACTATTCCATTACCTTTATCCTCTTATCAGATCCAGTCTTTTTAAGGGGTGGTGGTGTGCTGACCTGCGCTTTGTCGACCTTACCCTGTGACAGTTTTCGGAGTGGAGGAGGCAGCCATTTCCGCCTGAAATATTAAAAAAAAAAAATTAAAATCGATTTTACATTCGAGCCTTGGAAAGTTGGATCCGTACACGTACAAACGGTGAACTGGTCTTTTGAAAATTAACAATAAACGCGAAACTAGTTAGGTGTACATGTGCAACACAAGGCTAATTAGAAGTGAGCTAATTTTTTTGTTTAATCGGAGTTTATCGGGCAAAGTTTGTAATTGGAAGTTCAGTTAAATAATAATGAAGCGTCTAAAATGTTATTAATTGCATGTTATATTGTATTGCTTACTATAAATACATGAGTAATGTTTTTAAAAATGGATTGTTTTAAGGAAGAAATTAAGGACTATGCTATGGTGCATCTTTTTAGGTAATGAAAAACACAGACCGCGCATTTTACTCGGCAGATGCGTCAAATGCCTTTGTGGAATTTTGCTCAAATTCAGCTGCATACATAATTTAAATTCTGACCATGTGGGGATAATAATGATAACTTTTCGATCACATATATTATATTACTGAAATTAAATTCGACGAAACAGCACTCAAAATTCAAAGTTGGGCACTTAACGACCAGCCATGAAGGCTTATGTTAAGTTAATGATCTAATCAAATATATGTGACATTAGCATTTTCCATAACAGCTTTTTTAAGACACCGTCATCGAGCACTCCACCGCTGGTGCGTCTGCAGCAAATTATTTCTATCTTCTACAATGTAAGAATAAACGATAAATTTGTAAATTGACCTTGCGTAAATGTGTACCAAAAAAGTGTCACTGGACATATATATGATTTGGTATTAGACATTCTCTTAATTTTGATAAAAGAACTAAACTTTTACCTGATTCAAACTTGGATTCACCAAAGCATTATCTTTTAGATTAATAAAACGTATACAGAATTACTATCAACATTTTTCCTTAAAATGTCCAGAACGCAGTACAATATATTTTAAAAAAAGTTTCCAGTCACCTCTATTTACAGATGCACTCATAAATCCAGCGTTACAGAGTTCTTTGGAAATGTCAAATTCATGAAACAAAAATACGATCCATACAGTGTGGAGCAGCCAAATGGAATAAATTCGGTAATAAATAAATGCGTGTTTGGAAAAACGCTCGGAGACGTCGATTGGTATTTTTAGTTGCGCATTTTTTTTTTAATAAAAACTTTTTATACAGGGAGTGTCACGTAACAATTTTTGGATTGTTCAGAAAATTCTAGACATATTTTACCAAACTGTTTCGGAAATATTAAATATTTTCCGATTTATTACAAAATTTAACATTAATAAAATAAAATTATTTGATTACAGAAATTCGTTATAAAACACTCAAAAAATAATATGTAAAACTGTTTGTTTCTTGATAATGTAACAAAAAAAACAACAAATCTCAATGCAGGAATGTTCAAAATACTCGCCGCGAACCTCTTGGCAACATCCTAAATAAAAATGTTTTCTAACGTTACTCAACATCTCAGGCGTGACCTATCTAATCGCAAGCGTTATTCGTCTTCGTAAGTCAGCTAGATCGAGTGGTTTAGTTTTGTATACAATACTTTTGACATATCCCCATAAGAAAAAGTCTAATGATGTCAGATCAGGGGATCGTGCTGGCCATTCTATCGATCCTCGTCATTATTTTGGAGCAGTGCTAAATAATTTTCGCCATTCAAATTGCCATCAATGAAAAAGGGATCTACGATATGATTGCCCACAATTCCTACCCAAACATTAACCTTTTCAGTGAGGATTTTCCCTAGACCAATAGCGGCAATATTGACTATTATCATGACCGTGAAGTGTAAAGGTACACTCATCAGAAAACAAAACATGTTTTAATTGGTTCACCATATTATCTAACATTGCTGTTTCTTTTATCTGCCTTACATGTCTAAGCTCGCGAAACTGCTTCTCTATTTTACTAATTGTCCCTTGGGATATACGCGGCAAATTTGGAATTTTTTCAAGAAATAATCGAGCAACTTCCATTTGTGTCCGTGTGTTATCTCCATAACCAATCATCTGTACAATTGTTATTTTGAATGAACCATTTTTCTGATATGCAGTTAAGGAAATTCAAACGACTATAACACTGACAACTACTGTCATGCAGTTAGATAAAAGTTTGCTAAGGTCAGGCGTTTTAAACGACAGTAAACAAAACTATTTTAAGCCTTGGTTTCTTTGAACACTCCGTTGCGGTGAGCGGACAGTCCGTCGACCGTCGCGTTTTGACGATTTTATCCAACCAGAGTATTTAAATGGGAATGGTTTTTTTTGAATCCGCTTAGCTGAGCAGGACGGCGTCATGCCGCTGATTTGTCGCGAAGAGTCGGTTGATATCTGTTGAGTTTGATATCAGCGGAATCGTCGGCGTGTGCGGAGACTATATTGTTATTAATTTTAAAACAATGAGTGACAAATTCACACATACAGATGACATCATGACTTTATTTTTAGGTTTCTTGGAAATTATGTCCTTTATAAAACTCAACACGAATTCAAAAAGATCTGTAGAAAGTCTAAAATACTCCCTAAATTTGGTTTCATTTCCAAAAAGCCTCCGCTGCACAGTGATATTAAAGGCACCTTCTGTATCGCGACACAAAAACAACTCATCCACTGGCTTATTGGAAACTTTGACGGTTGCAATTGCCGGTTCCTCTTGTTCTTCCTCTTCCAACAATAATAACAACGCAAACAATTTATTTGCATCCATTTTAGTACCTTTCGTTTACATTCATAATACATAAACAGCACGTACAGACATAGAGAAAGTATCATTTTCTATATTTTTTAACAAACCACCTTGGGCGAAAATTGCTGTCCTCAGCGGTCGATGGACTGTCCGCTCACCGCGACGGAGTGTTCAAAGAAACCAAGGCTTTAGTATAGCTTTTTTTATTTCATATCAGTAAAAAGGAAGGAACGCTGAAATGGTTTGTGTGCTTACTTTCTCATTATTAAGACCTAAATGGGAAATAAGTATTTAGTGTGTTGTAGCGAATTTCTGTAATCAAACAATTTTATTTTGTTGTTGTTAATTTTTGCAATAAATCGGAAAACATTTAATATTTCTGAAACAGGTATAGGACATGGTACATAAAATGTCTATAATTTTCTGAAGAATCAAAAAATTGAAAAATATACAGGATGTTGCATTTAAAATAAGAAAGTTGGTATTGGCCACTGTTACATGACACACTCTGTGTAAAAAGTTTTTGTTAAAAAAAAAATGCGCAACAAAATATTAATCGACGTCTCAGAGTGTTTTTCCGAAACACGCCCCCATTTATTTATTACCGAATTTATTCCATTTGGCTGTTCCACAGTGTATAATTATTTAAAAAAAATAGCATTTTTATTTTCAACAAAACTGGCTAGCTCGAGTTAGTTTGACACTTCACGTAAAGGTGTAAAACAATTCAAAGGTGTAGACATTTTCAGTAACATCATAGCATCTCTGCCCTCCTAAACCAAAAAGCGGTATCTCAACAAAAACGACTTTCCTATTTTTTAATGCATCAGACAGCTTGAAAAATTCCGCATCAGATGAACTAAGAAAAATAGCAAAATCTTACTTAAAACATTAAACAAAACCTAAAACGACTTTACTTGTACTTACTGAAAGGTTTAGAGATATTATTATAAGAGATATGCCATTATTACTAAGATAAATAGCTGCATATCCATATACAACACAAGAACTTCAAAAATAATATTAAAAAAATAATATTTTAAATTAATCCAGCGGTACCTAAATAATTTTTTTACGCCCATGTCAATAAACGTTAAAAATCGCACTATCAAAATTCCTTGTAAATGACACTTAACAATACATGTACGTAATGAGATCTCATAACATAAAACATAAAAACTTTTAGCATTAGCGAGATACATTTTGGATTAAAAGAGTGATGCCCCTAAATGTCGGCAACATATTATACAATTTTTAAAAAATATGTCGCGTTTTCTTAGCATGCTATGGAAATAAACCTCATGCCATTTATATTGTCAATTTTTGTATCAAAATATGATTGCATCCGAACATTTTCTCAACTTTACCTACGAATATGTTTGTTAGCAGTAAAAGTGATGAAATTATGAGTACTCCACCAGAGATTTTAGAAAAAGCTCAAGCTGCCACACATTATTTGTTACTGCTAAAATCCAAAGAAAGGTACGAAAGTACCTATCGAAAAGTTATAGATTGGCGACACAAGCATAACGTTAAATCCTTTTTTGAGAATGTCTTAAGTGGGCGTAGAAAAAGTATAGTACGTTACACGAGTTGTAAGCCGCTGCGCGGCTTCGTGCGTAAACTTTTTCACTTCGTGCGTAATGGGTTATTTAGAACTCTTGTTACGTAATACACTTAGGAAAGTGACACATATCACACTATATAGTCCTATGGAAAGTGCCCTATATGAATAAGAATTTACTTTCCACCCGCGTACGAATATGCTCCTTTCCGCAGTAGCTGTCAGAAAATGACAAACACATAATTTCTATTTTGATTTATGTAATGTGCATATTAATACTAAAATCGATATGATTGTTAAATTATTGAAATTGTTGTAAATTAGAACCTAGATATTTATTTTTAACAATTATTATTAAAATAATTTTAAAATAACTAAGATATATTTGCTTTTTATTCAGGTTAAACACATAAGCGATTAGATCAATCAATTACCGTAAGGCCTGTTAGCTCAGTTGGTTAGAGCGTGAACTTTGCAATTTGAGACCGTCTAGCGACCGCGTTTAAATCCTGGCTGTGCCAGATTTTTTTTTTGTTTTTTATTTTTTTTTATTTGTTTAGAAATTATGAAAATTGAATAAATACGATTATTGTTGATTATTTTTTTAAATACATTTTAATTATTATAATATTCTGGTTTTATATTTTTTGATGAAATTATTTTGTGGTCGTAGGAAAAATATTGTACATCACTTGTGTGAAAAGTGATTTTCCACGCTCGTAATGTAATATACTATTTTTACGTCT